CTCTCTCTCTCTCTCTCTCTCTCTCTCTCTCTCTCTCTCTCTCTCTCTCTCTCTCTCTCTCTCTCTCTGTGTTTCTCCCTCACTGTCTCTCTCTCTCTCTCTCGCTCTCTCTCTCTTTCTCTTTCTCTTTCTTTCTCTCTCAAGTTCTCAACTGATTCTCATTGACTGATAGTTAACGACTTGTTGGAGTTTGTGTCTACATCATCGTCTCTGTTTCTATTTCAGGGGCGATCGCGGTACACCCTCCATGATGCCCGGGGTGCACACCTCAGGCGCCTACTCGGACTACGACGGCCATTCCCGCTACTCAAAGTAAGTAATCGCTACTCAAAGTAAGTAACCGCTACTCAAAGTAAGTAACCGCTACTCAAAGTAAGTAACCGCTACTCAAAGTAAGTAACCACTACTCAAAGTAAGTAATCGCTACTTGATTGCCAATATTTCAATATATTCAATTGCAAAAATGATTGCCAATTGTTCATTGCCAGTTGTCAATATTGCCAATTGTCCAAAAATGATTGCCAATTGTTCATTGGCAGTTGTCAATATTGCCAATTGTCTATTAGCATAGCTAAATACCTCCTCATTTTTCCCGCGCGTCTGCCGTTAATGTCACGTGATTCATCACTAATCGTCGGCATCGTCGTTGATAATTGTCGAGGGCGGGAATTTATCGGTGACGCGCATGACAGATTCATGTTACAGCTGATGCTGTAATGATGCCAGTGTTATGACACTCCGGCTTAAGGTGGCCGGTGTACAACAGTAGAGGGCGTCCAAATTAGTGCACTCTAAATTTACCGCAAACAAAAATCAAAAGAAGGCCTTTTACAGAGACGAAATAGTGGAATTTGCGAACAATTTGCAGAAGGCTACTGTTGCATAATATCACCTTTTAAAATGCCCAACGCTGCCGGTAGGTATACGTCGATCACAGCTAGGGCAAAGGCTGACTCTAACCTCTGCTGTTAGTCACTCTCACTGCCTCTAGATGGCGCTCGTGTAAACAGGCGTGAATAAGCCTATAAATTTCAGATGACCCTGACACTGTTCAACAAGTAAAGTAAAGTTCTGTAAAGTTGGTTTCTTCAGGGCCGCCTCGACTACATAAGAGTTGCCCTTTATGTAGAGAAGGATTTCTATATAAAGAGTTTATCTTTGTATATATGTTCTCGCGTAGAGGGACTCTATCATAAGGGCTTTTCTCGGAAGACCTACGCTCTGTACCAGTGAGTATAGTGACAACACGCTTGTTGCTCAAGTGCAAAGTTTCAATACGGTTTGTGGGAAGAAGAGTTATGAGAAAAGTTACTCACTCGTATTCCGACTAGCATGGGTTTCATCTTAATTATCTGAATATTAAGGATGCTGATATTATCACCATTCTGGCTCTCCGTCGATGCGACGTTGCCTTTGATGCCCTAATGAAATCGTAATCAATTAGGATTAATTAGAAATAGTTAGGATTCGCCTAATGAAGAATAAAGAGTCGGTGACGTATTTCACCGGGTAGCAGTAGCAGCAGAGAATTTGTTACTTTGATTCACTTTGTCCACCGTAGTTAGACAATAGTCTGAATCTATATATATATATAATGTATATATATATATATATATATAATATAAGCGCGTAGGGCTGAAAGTGTGAATTTGTGGATTCTGCAGTCGCAGTGATGGCCACTGTCTTTTCGTTGTTTCGGCTGAAGGTTTTTGTCCGTGTTTTATATTGAAACAGGATTGCGGACTCGAATTGTAGAACGTGAACTTGATGCATCCATCCCCAGCGAGGAAAAATCTACCAACGCAAATGTAATGTTGTGTGTGAGGTTGTACTGCTACCCGCCTGCTTAGCTATAGGGTATCTATGTTCGAGATAAGACCTATAGTGTGGGCACAGGACCTAGCATGCACAGGTTGTGAATCTGTAAAAAATCTCTCTCTCCCCCCCTCTCTCTCTCTCTCTCTCCCCTCTTTCTTTCTCTCTCTCTCCCCTCTTTCTCTCTCACTCGCTCTCTCGCGCGCGTACAGCAGTATCTGCAACAGGAGAGCTGCGTGCGTGTGTGCGTGCGGGGGGGGGGGGGGGGCGGCCTCTCCCGTAAGCCGTCGTCTCTCGGCTTGACGTGCGAAACGTGTTATTCATGTTCATCAGCACCGCCATCGCCCCAACGCTAACTCCACCCTTTACAGAAACCATAGTCGTCAGCCCGGCTACACCCACCGTTAGTGTTGCTACACGCCTATGTGTGTATATATATATGTGTATATCTGTTACTGTTACTGCTGTTGCTACTGCTGCTTCTGCTACTGCCTACTACTACTGCTGCTACTGCTGCTGTTACTGTTACTGCTGCTGCTGCTGCTGTGACTGTTACTGCTGTGTGTGCTGCTGTGTGTCGTGATACGACACTCACTACGCACACTGCCGGCTCCCAATTTTCACGCACTACATATTGACGTAATCACCTCGGTTTTGTTAACCTCACGATCGGTAGCCCAATCTACAGGAGTCAGTAGCAACGCAGACTTAGATGCTTTTGTTTCTGCGCTGCCAGACGCATGCGTGCGGTAAATAATAGATAAATTGCTGTTTAAGTGGCGTAAGAAGTATAGCCAGGTAGCCCCCCATCGAGTGCGCGATCACTGTGCGTGCCTGGGCAATTATCATTAAGAAGTTTCCCGCGGGCAGAGCGGGCCGCGCCTTGTGAGGAATTCACACACATGGGTACCCTCGTTGTGTAAGAGTTGTGGCATCGTGTTTGTCTGCGTGGCATCTAGGTAAAGGAAGAAGGGCAAAGCTTACATCTACCGAGGCCATACGTGCAGCAAGCCTTTGAGATTTGCACACTCTTAGTTTTACGTTTTGCTTTTACGTGCGAATGATTGGCAATAGTATTCAATCGGCGGATATCAAGATATACTCCGAACGCAACTATTCTATATAGCATCAATAGCATCTGTGAATAATCCATGAATGATCTGTCATTTTTCACTCCTACATCTATGGATATATACGCTCTTATATCTATGGTATTATTAGCTCTTGATATACGTGGGAAATATGCTCATCCCGTAAACGAGAGATAGCGTGTTTACATGCACAATCGCAAGCAGTGAGCGACCGTACTCATGTAAATATGACCTCCTAAAATATCTGTTTATGAGGCTACCCTGTCGTATTACTTATTGACATGTCAGTCCGATATCAACATGTGAAGAAGACATCGCATGTGTGTGTTTGTGTCCATTCGACTTGCTCCAAACGTTTCTGCGACTCCATGTGAGCAGGTCTCTCTCTCTCTCTCTCTCTCTCTCTCTCTCTCTCTCTCTCTCT